AAAATGCTCGAAGCATGTAAATATTTATGGGAAATTTATTCAATACGACTACAAAAGTCCTTGTATGGATTAAAACAATCAGGGCGTATGTGGTATAATCACCTTAGTGAATATTTATTAAAAGAATGGTATAAAAATGACCTGATCTATCCATGTGTCTTCATAAAAAGATTTGGATCTAAATTTGTCATAATGGTGGTGTATGTTGATGATTTAAATATAATTGGTACTCCAGAAGAGCTTCTAAAAGCAGTGGATTATTTGAAAAAAGAATTTGAAATGAAAGATGTCGAAAAGACAAAGTTTTGTCTTGTCTTACAGATTAAGCATTTGATAAATGAAATATTTGTCCATTAATCAATTTATACAGAAAAGATTTTAAAGCGATTTTACATGGATAAAGCACATCCATTGAGTACCCCAATGGTTGTAAGGTCGCTTGATGTAAGCAAAGATCCATTCCGACCTCAAGAGAAGGATGAAGAGCTTCTTGGTCCTGAAGTACCATATCTTCGCAATATCGGGGCACTAATGTATCTTGCTAATAGTACAAGACCATCTATAGATTTTTCTGTTAGCTTATTAGCAAGATTTAGTTCTTCTCCAACACGAAGACATTGGAATGAAATTAAGCATATATTCTGATATCTTCGAGGAACTATTGACATGGGTTTATTTTATTCAAATGAATCTAGACCTCAACTAATTAGTTATGCAGATGCATGGTATTTATTTGATCCACATAAAGCTCGATCTCAAACAGGTTATTTATTCACAAGTGGAGGTAAGGCTATATCATGGCGCTCTACGAAACAAACTATAGCTGCCACTTCTTCAAATCATGCAGAAATAATAGAAATTCATGAAGCAAGTCGAGAATGTGTTTGGCTAAGGTCAATAATCCAACAAATCTAGGAGATATCAGACTGCCTTTAGAGAAGGAGATTCCAACAACGTTGTATGAAGACAATGCTGCATGTATTACTTAGCTAAAAGGAAGATTCATTAAAGATGATAGAACGAAATACATTTCACTAAAGTTTTTTTTCACACATGATCTTCAGAAGAGTGGTGATATAGATGTTCAACAAATTCATTCAAGTGATAATTTGGCAGATATGTTCACCAAAGCATTGCCTACTGCAATTTTTGAAAAGCTGGTACACAAGATTGGAATGCGTCGACTAAGAGAAATCAAATGATGTTGTCATCCGGGGGAGTAAAGTATATGTTGCACTTTTTTTCCCTTAACCAAGGTTTTGTCCCACTAGATTTTTCTGGTAAGGTTTTTAATGAGGTAGCCTACTGTGCGTATTACAAGATATGTGTACTCTTTTTCCTTCACTTGAATGTTTTCCCACTGGGTTTTTCCTAGTAAGGTTTTAACGAGGCACACTATCTATTAATGGACGTCCAAGGGGGAGTGTTATAAATCTAAGGTTTTATATGGATGTCCATTAACCAGATTCTACTATATCTTCATGGGATTAAGGTCACAATTTATGGGATTGTAATCTTCAGTTGATTGAGATTATGATTGACTGAAAGCTATAATTAATTGATCCATGATTTTAGCAATCACAATTATTATGTAGATCTTTATACTATTGTTTTGTAGAAGTACTTATAAATAGAGCCTTAAAGAAACATTGTAATGATTTTTTGTGAATCAAAATATTCTCTTTTTTCTTTTCTTAATTCTCTCTATTCTCTTGTTCTTGTTCTTTCAATCCGTTACTCTTTTTTTTTTTTTACAACAATTTTCAATATTTTTCTCCTTATGTTTTTATTATTATTTTTTTAAAAAGGATCTTTTTAATTTGTTCTTGTCTCAACCCCTGAGTCAAGATTCAAGAGTAATGAATTAAAGAATATGGACCCATTAATAGAAAGAGTATGGCTGTTCATGGGTTGGGTTGGTGCGGGATATGACTTTTTTTTCCCTGCCCCAAAGGGTGCGGGTTGCACATATTTAGCCCCAACGATGTTAGAAAAATTTCACAACCCAACAATGTTCAGGTTGGGTTGGGACGGTGCGGGGTGGGTTGGGTGGTCGGTTTCAACATTCAAAAAGTCAAAGACTTAAAGTTCAATATAATATTCAAACTTCATCATTAAATAGAAATAGCAACCATCCTTATCAGTCCGGCGAGAGAGCACTGGAGAAAGAGGGCAAGACGGCGGCCGAGAGGACTGAGCAATGAGGAGAGAGTTATGAGGGGGTTCACGGGAGGGGAAGAAAAAGGAAAACTGAAAAGGAAGAGGCAAGAAGAGGGGGTTCACGGGAGGGGGAGAAAAGGGAAAACTAAAAAGGAAGAGGCAAGAAGAGGGGGTTCACGGGAGGGGAGACCGAGAATGAGATTGTGAACCCTAATGTTAACGAGCCTAGGGTAGAACTTAGGCAGTTCGGCTTGGGCCGAAAGCTTGGGGGTATGTTGAGCGGGTTGGGTTGGGGATTGTAGGTTATTATGGGCCCAACCCGCAATCCGCCCCAAACACTTCGGGCCAGAAGTATAATGAGCCGCAAATTTAAAAATAATGCTGCGGGTTGCTTTTTTCGGCTTGGATTGAGGCGGGGTGGGTTGGGTTTACGGGTTGTTCGGGTTTATGAACAGCCCTAAGAAATAGTCAATCGTATATTACTTTTTTCGTTTTTGTCTTTTGCTTGTATAAAATTCATAATATTTGTAAAAATATTGTCACTTTTCTACAAATATTCATGAAAATATCACAGAAAATCAGATATTTTAAGTGATAATATAAGCATCACAGATTAACAGACACAAATATGTGAACAGGTCACAAGAAAACTTTTTTTTTCTTTAAAAGACTACTTAGTCATAAGCAAATACAAACCTAACTCTCAATAAACCAAAACAAGAATTCTTTTTTTTTTCATAAAAGAGAGAGTAGGAAGAGGCGGACCGGCGACAAGAGGAGAGGAATTTTAAGTTGGTGGTGGTGGCAGGGGCGGCTGGTGGTGGCGGCTGAAAGAGGAAAAGAAAAGTACCGTCACGTTAGGTTAAAATATAAAACTATTATGTGTCAACTATTTGTTGGCAAAATGGCTTATTAAGCCATGTTAAAGGCCCATTTTGAGACCCATATTGGAAAGGGACCTAATTGGATTTTGGGACGGATATCGATGGATTTTCGTTCTCCATTGCAAGGAGATCAAAATCGAATATTCATACACTCAAAATGGATATTGGGTGAATGAAAAATTGATGTTCAAAGTATGTCACTTAGAATAGTTAAGGTAGTTGATAATTGCAAAAACCCCACATTGGCGAGGAATGAAGCCTTAGCGGTGTTTATAACTGATTACACTTTGAAGCTTAGGTAAGCATGTATACCAGAGAGGCTTTCTCATGCGTAGGAGGGTGCGAATCACGGTCCCGATATGTTAGGAGCCCAATGTGTGCGCCCGTGGCCTGCAGACACGAATGTCAGACCGGAAAACCCACTTCGTGCAGGCTTTGTTTTGCAATTTTTCTTTTTATTTTTTCCAACTGAAATCTGAAACTGCTACAATAGTGGATGATTAACTCTGCATTATTGCAGGGTGTGAAAACTGCAGCATTAACTAGCATTATTGCTTGGTTTATGGACATTTAACCATCGAATGTGGACATACCTTGGAGCAGGTTCACCAGGGGCTATAACCTCTGTTTTAATCCTCATTAATCTGAGAATAAATTCAAATTTATACACCATAATGTCATGATGTAATACCCAAATGTAGACCTATATAAAGGCCATACTTCACATGAACAATACACTCATTCATTCACTCTTCTTCTCCTCTCTCTTGGTTCCTCTCTTTTTTTCGAGTTCTTTATGTGTTTTCTTTTTGTAGTTCGGTTTTGGTGATAGAGGGAAGATCCGAGTTCTAGTTCACTGGACGGTTCCGATAGTGCTTCAAGCTACTGTCGTTGTCGTTGTATCCTGGAAAACAGATGTCTAACGTAACCTCAAGCACTCGTCGGAGGAGACGAATCTGTTTTAAGGAAAGCGAGGTTCACGTGCCTCGACATATTATCCATATTATTGTTAATACTATTAAGTTTTAATAAAATCGGCATTTTAAATATGTTTTTAATTATTATTTTCCTAGAAGGAAAAGATTTTTGGGTTGTTCTTTTGCATTTTTGAGTTAGGGTGACTTAGTGATGATTTTGAGTTGACTTTGAGTTATAACTTGAGTTGAAGTTGTAACTTGAGTTTGTATTTGGATGTGCACAAATTTTGAGTTATGATTTGAATTGAAAATCTTTTTGAGTTTGTGTTTGGGTGGGTCAAAACTTAAATTTGTATTTAGATAGTATTTTAATAAAAACTCAATAGTGATGAAAAATTTTAATAGGGTATATGAGTGATGTTTTATTCATTTTTTCGTTAATAATGCATAGAAAAAAATCATCTCAATCAGAATTAAAACGAAAAAAGTTATGATATTTTTAAGAATAAAAATAATATTGTTCATTAATTTGAGTTCGAGTTTATGAACTCGAGTTGAAAGGGAAACTTAAACTCGAATTTAACCCTAAACTCGAGTTCAAATTCGAGTTTAAACTCAAATTTTATAAAAGAACATAAACTTAAATAAAGTTGTAACTCAAATTCAAACTTTTTTTGAGTTTTGTTGCAAAATAACGATCTCTTTATTTCGAATTGTGATTTTTTTTATTTCACACAGATCGGCCAGTTTAAATAAAATTGTAACTCAAATTCAAACTTTTTTTGAGTTTTGTTGCAAAATAACAATCTCTTTATTTCGAATTGTGATTTTTTTTATTTCACACAGATCGGCCAGGGTATAACATTTTGGCACCTGTTTAGTGCTGAGGTTTTATTTCAAAAAAAAAAAAAATAGTGCTCAGTTTTTATTTTCCTATTTTTATGTATTTATTTTTTTCAGACGACTTGTCGCTCACACTTTTATTAATTTTTTATAAAAAAAATTACTTGTCGTTTATATTTTTGTTTGTGCCCTAACATCAGCAGCTCCACATCCCCAAACAAGCACTCAACCGGAACTACGTTTCAGTGCTAAAAAATGGCGTGCAGTGCTTCGACCTGCCAATCCAACTGCTACCGAAACGAAGAACACGAAGACGAATCGTCACTTCCATCACCAAAATCAATCGCCAACAACGGCAATCACCATGGCCTCTGCTTCAAGTGCAAGACCAACCGCCCTATGTCCTCCTCCTCCGGCGACGGCGAGAGGTTCTGCGGCGACTGCTTTCGGAGCAATCTCTTCTCGAAGTTTCGACAGGCCGTCACCTCCAACGCCATGATCACGCCCACTGATAACGTCCTCGTCGCCTTCTCCGGTGGCGCTTCTTCCAGGTACCGCTTTATGTTGAATTTAATCACTTGCTTCTTTTTTGGTTCAAATTTCGAGGCTTTTTGAAGATTTCATATTGTAAATGGAAGAATTTGTTCTTTGTTTCAGCTTGTGGATTTATTGTTTGTGTATGTATGAATTGTAGTAGAAAACATTTGTTTTGTGATAGGAATTTCGTTTATTGATGCTGATTTGTAGGGAA